GGGCTAGACAGACAGAATGGGGATAGATTTCTCTCCAGTGTTTGAGAGCTGAGATGAAGTGGTCCCAAGAGAGGTGCTCTGACTGAATAGGAATCTCTGCTTCCCGCCAATTTTAAAATTTGAATCATTCCTTTGGGGGAAGCGGTGGGGGTGGGGTAGGGTGGGGAGGGACTGTGCAAGAAGAAAGAAAAACAAAAAAAAAGAAAACCTTTTAGGAAAGTTGGAATTGATGGAATATGGTTTTCATGTGGAAAAGACCTTCAGGTGGCCTGTCCCTCCCCTCTCACACCGTGCTAATCTGTCATTGCCACTAAGGCTGAAAACAACAGGTTCTCATCTGAAGCAAGAAAGCCACGTTCTTCCATGGGATTTTTTCTACCTCACCTCACTCATGGTGTATCGTCCAACAATGCCCATATAAAGAATGTCATAAGTAGAACTCTTGTTTGACTGAAAAGGACCCAGTTACGTCCTCTTGGAAGGTCTGAAGGAGCTGCTGGGCTGTCTGAATAAAGGACATTCTAAGGACAATCTGACAAACCATTCCATAAACCTCACTTACATGTTTACTACATGCAAAGTACTGGGCAGGCCTAGGGAGTATAAAGATGGATCATAGACTATTACACCTGGAAGGATCTACAGGAATCATCTATTGATGATGAGAAAACTGAGGCCTAGAAAGGAGAAGTGGGTTTGATAAACTGACACAGAATATAAGTGGCAGAGTCAGGACATGAACCCAGATTCCCTCACTCCCAGTCTGGTTCTTTCTACTATGTTGACCTTGGAAAAGGGACTGAATGAATCCTTGCTCCCTATTGTTTAGGGGATGGAGAAGTGAAAAAAAAAATTAAAATAAGGGACAAGTTAAAATAACAGCGAATAGCTGTCTTAGACTGTAAAATATCCTTGAGGGCAGGGACAACTGTGTCTATGTAATCCTCTTTGTAGATACTTAAATAAATGAGTTTTAATGAAAATTTAATTTTTAGATTCCTAAATTCATTTTTCCTCTCTGTAGTCTATAGAGAAGGAAAAGAGGGTGATCTTCAAAAGACAGTGTGCTTATAAGGCCTCAGATAAGAGCTTCCTTCAAGTCCCACCTAAAAGCTCATCTTCTATGGCAAGACTTTTCTAACCCTTCTTATTTCTAGTGCCTTCCCTCTGTTCATTATTCCTACTTCCTGTGTATGTAATAAATTATTTCCTATTTACCCAGTAAGTTTGTACACATTTGTTTCTTGTTGTCTCCCCCATTATACTGTGAGCTCCTTGAGGTCAGGGATTGATTGTCTTTTGCCTCTTTTTGTATCCCTACCACTTAGCACAGTGCCTGGCACGTGCTTAACAAGTGACTGACTCTGCTGGTCTTGGAGCCCAAGTGAATGATAATACCATTTAGGTGAAATAGCCATTAGCACTACAGAATGTCAGACTTTGAGCTTCTCAGGTGATTTTAGCTCATCAAGCTAATACCTGGCATTGGAAGGCTGGCTCTTAAATAATTCATCTATATTGAACGGCATCCACCCAAGAGTCCTGACTGTAAAAATGAAATCATGGAAGTGTTGGCTCAAATATAACCTCTCACTCATAGCCAGAGACTTGGAGGATGGGGCCTCTGATTCCTACCCATAAGAATTCCCAAATATACAGAGCAACTTGCCCATCTCACTGGCATGCCTGGAAGACTGGCAGCATTTATAATAGAGGGTAAGATCATTAAAGATCTATGTAAGCATATCCTACTGGGAGAAAGGTAAGTGGAGCGTGCCTCCCTAATTGGGTAATGCAAGCCAGCCAAGAGGAAACTAGTGAAGATAATTTATTTAGACTTCTAAGAAACCTCTGACAAGATTCTACAATAAGAGCTGGGTTTGTTTTTGGAGGTGGGAGAGAAGGGGGAACACAAATAAGAGGAAACCTGTGGCCAGGAAATGTTTTTATTGTGGGTAGAGAACTAGCTTAAAAACAGAAAACCTAGTAGGGATAAATGGATTTGTCTCCAGCTAGAAAAGTATGAGTAGAGGATTCCCTAGGCATGCTATTTAACATTTTAATCAATTATTTGGCAAAGGGAGTACTAAGTGAAATCTTCTAGGTTGTAGATGACACTACACATTTCCAGGTAACGAAATGCCAGGCTGAGTAGGATGAGCTCATGAAGCTGTAGAACTAAGTTGAAAAGGGGAAGATGAGCTTCCCAGACTCAGAATTTTAGAGCTAGAAAGGATATTAGTGATAACCTAGTCTAATATTTTCACTTTACAGATGAGTAAATTGAGGCCCAGAAAGTTTAAGTGACTTTGCTCATAGAGTTAGTGGCAAAGACATAATTTGAACCTAGGTCTTCCTAATTATCAGTCCACTTTGCCAGCCATTGTGCCGTGGGGCCTCTTAGGAGTACCCACCTAATCTATGATGTGTATGATAGGGAGCTGACTCTACTGAGATTTCTATCCTTTGTCTGGGAGGACAGAGAACCTGGGCTGTAGACCAGGGTATAAATGACCTCTGGGTACCGGGATTGTGAATCAGTACCTCCCTGCTTCTTCCCATCCCCTCTGCTCACCTCATCCCCCTGATGCCTCTGGAGTAGTAAAAGAGATCTGACCTTTTAACCATTAGCTGGAGAAGTTATTTTTTGTGGGAATATCTCATGCCAGCCTTTGGAAGGCAGGAAGATTAAGAACTTTCCACATTGGTCACTGACAACATAGTCTAGAAACGAAAAGATCTGGAAGACATGGACTCCAGTCCTGACTGCCAGTAACTCACTTTTGGACTTTAGAAAAGTCCCTCAATCTCTGAGGAACCTAAAGTTTGCCGTCCACATCAAAATGGAGATGATCATCCCTAACCTACCTATCTTCCAAGATTATGGTGGGGAACTGAAGGAGGGGATTCAATTAAGTTCAGTTCAGGAAACATTTATGAAGCACTTCCTGTATACACAAGACGATGGTAGATATGGAGGATGAAAGAGGAAGAGTAAAATAAGAAAACAAAGATAAAAAGTGAGATAATGGATTTGTGTCTTTTGAAAGAAGTTCTTAGTTTCTACCCTATCAAGTTACTGTTTTGAAAAATAAAAAACAATTCACTCTTCCTCGAGGAGAAACATCAGCACAATGTACTAGATGGGGTCTGGGACTGTATATCAGTCATCTCGCCTTTCTGTAAGTCAATTTCCTCATCTGTAAAATATGAAAAATACATTACCTGCTTCATGCAGCTGTTGTGAGAAAAACACCTTGGAAACTGTACATATTAATACATAAACATGAGCTCCTGTTGTTGTCTGTTGTAACTGCTGTCATTGCCAAGCTCTGGAATGGGCCTTGCCTACCTTGAGGTAGGGCAGGCTATAATGAACGAGTAGATCTAGACCAGCGGACCTTGACCTCTGCTCCCTGGAAGCTGGGTGAGGTAAATAGGCCAGGGCAGATCTCCAAGGTGAGCTATGGGGTGGGGTGTTTGGCCTGTTGCTGTCTCCTCCTTCAGGGAGCCCTCCAGGAAACTCTGGGGAGGGGGACTCTGAAGTCCCAGTGGCTAACAGGAAGCTGGAGGTGGTAGGCAGGGATACTTCAGCCATCAGGAGAGATGGCTATTGATTCCCAAGTCCTGTGTGGCACCTGGGAAGCAGGAATAGGCAGTGCTATAGAAAAGCATGTTCTCTAAACAGAAAAGAAATGAAGGGAATATTTCTTTTCTTTAGGCCTGCTCCTTGATCTCTTTCAAGTCCTGGGCACAAGGTCCAGTGGTTGTTGTCCTGGCTGGGTCAGGCCAGCACTCTGGAGCCTCCTCTGCAGCTTGCTTTAGTACATCCTATTGGCATGGTGAATTACTAGGGCTGCCTAGGCTCTTCCTTGAGAGCTGGAGACAATACAGTTGATTGTAATTTGGGAGACTGAAAAATATCTTGGATACAACTATTAAAAACATTCTTTGTACTTTTCTCAAAAGCCAGACAAAATCCCATTTCTAAGATCTACCTACATGAGATGTCTTAATGTTCAACTTTTTTTCTTTAAAAAAAAAAAAGAGTGACTGTTGCCAAGAAAACAGAATATTATTTCTTTCAATCCACAGGAGTCTGAGTGGACAGCTTGTCCTTCCTTGGAACTGAAACCAAGTATTCTGAGTCCTAGATTCACAGAGTGGAGTCTGGGAAAGTCTGGTTACGAATCCACTCCGGACTTTCTCTTCTCCTTTTCCACTCATTTCTAACAAACCACCACGGTGAGAATTCCCCTGAAATCCAATGACTTACCTTTCACTTTCTGTACCAAACATTCTGTCAGGCTCCGGGAGACAGGCAATTTAAAACGGAATACAATTAACGCAGGACAGCTGAGGCTCACTCTTTTTTCCAGCTAAAATAATTTGGTGACTTGAGGATAGAGTTTGAGGGGATGAGAGGACACGGGGAGGAGAGTGGTAAGAATGGACTGAGCGACTCCTAATGAACTCCGAGCACTTAAAGTTTTTATTTAGAATAAAATCCTGTGGCTGAGCTTTGCTCTCACCATAGTCCTTCACCATAGGATAAGCTGCCATGGAGCGCGTGCTTTCAATTTAATGGGAAAAGCAATAAAAGAGGAGTGGTAACTCAAACAGAAAGCTGACTATTTATAACCCCCCAGGACTAGCTAATGCTGAGGGTTTGACTAAAGCCGAAAGAGAACAAGAGAGACTGTCTTCATGTTAGCTGAAGACGACAGAAACAGGAAATACAGGAAACTTGGGCCAGCTCGGCTTGCTGGCTCATCTCTGTTGGACTTGTGCCCCTTAATTGAAAAGATAACTGAGGTCTAGAAAAGATCAGAAGTCTGACACACTGAGTTGCTGTTCAAAGTAGAGAATGAATGAATGAATGAACGAATGAATGAACGAATTAACCACGATGCCATCAGGAAGTCAGGTTTTCCCCTCCTACTTCCTGCACACCTGTCCATCGCCAGGCCCCATTCCCTTCTGGTTCATTCTGCACCTACCTGCAATCCCTTGTAGCAGCCCACAGACATTAAAAATACTTTTCTTCATGATGCTCTGCACACACATGGTGAAGACAGATATGAATGCCACCGCACAGAGAATAAAGATCCCAACAGCTAGGAAAATAGCGGTGGCCTGCCAGAAGCCACTGGCGATCTCGCTGAAGTTCTCCGCATAGGGTCCACAGAGGGTGTCCCGATTGGAATGGCGTATGTGGGAGATGCGGGTACATCGAGCGTAGATGCCCAAGGTTGGGCGGTAAGGCTGCTGGGAGCCCCCTGTCCTGTTGTCCGTGTCCGCGCCGCTGGAGGATTTGGCGGTGCCAATTAGCCAGTCTGCACTCATGAAAGCGATGAGTTCCGCAAAAGCTACGACGATGCTCAGGAGAGTCCACAGCATTGAGCGACAGGTGACAATAACATGACACATATTGAGGTCCAAGGCAGTGGACAGTCAGAAATCCAAGGGGTGAACACACACACACACACACACACACACACACACACACACACACACACACAAAAGCACCCAAGACCACAAGAATGAAGGCAGAAAGAAACCAGGAGAAATCTGTTTTCCTTTCCAAGCAGATCTGCAGTCACTGAGGTCCAAGCGGTCCTGTGAAGAAGTTGGAAGATTCAGTCATTGACTTCTTGCACGCTCAGCTCCTCCTTTCTTTCTCCTCCCCTGACAGCTCCAGCGAGGAGTGCAGGCTGCTCTGTTAGCATTCATACTGGCACATGATGACGGGCGGTTAGTCTTCTGGGGGGGAGGTCCCAAGCCCGGCCTCCTGCTTTGACATCACACACCTATAGGAGAGAAAGGAGGAGGGAGGGTTTAATGGAGAGCACTCCCTGATCCCGCCCCAACCCCGAGTTCTGTCGAAAGCAAAACTGCTCATCTTGCCCCACAAGGTCTTAAAATCAACATGTGAGAGTTTAAAACAGGGGCTTGTCCAGTCCACAACGCAGGAAAATTCCCAGGCTGGATCGTCAGAGGGTGACTACTGCCTGCTGCCCCACAGGGCTCAGGCCCCCGCCCCCTCCCACCCCATGGAACAGCTGCCAGAACTTGCGAAAGGTACCTCTCCACTATGCAACAAGTCAAAGGCAGTCACAGGATCACCCAGCTAGAGCAGGAGGACCAGCTCAAGACCATTCATCTGGTCCAACTCACTCAAAGCCACACAGGTAGTAAACATCAAAGGGACGCTGGGGATTGGGATCTGAACCCACCTCCTCTGATTCCAAAGCCAAGTTTTCTTCTCACTGTATTAACCTGCGTGAAATACTAATTCCTCCTAGCAATCTAGTGTATATGTTTCCCTCATTTTCAGGTAGGTGCACATCTACTGTAGATTAGTTTCTATGTGTAGCAGTTAATACAAAGTGAAGAGTGGAGAGTCTCAGCAGGTAGTATGACCTGAGAGAGAGGTCAAATTAGGTGTCTCCCATAAAATCCAGGGGGCATTCTCAATTTAGCTTAGGATAGCTTGGTTGAAACTATTACCCACTGTTGATGATCCAACAACTCATACAATAAACACAAAGTAATAAGAGCACTGGAATTTCTATCTGCGCACAGCTTTGGAGGGCAAACAATTTCAAAGAACTTGTGCATTTAACAGCCTCCCCCCCCCCCAATTTAAAAAAAGGTGGTGCATCGGATAGAAGCTGGACCTGGAGTCAGGGGAAGATTTTAGTTCAAATTTGGTCTCAGATTCTCCCTAGTGTGTGACAGTAGGCAAATCATATAACCTGTTTTCCTCAGTTTCCCCATCTGTAAAATGAGGATAATAATAATAATAATAATAATAACAACAATAATAATAAGGTTGTTGTGAGAATAAAATGAGATCATATTTGTAGTGCTTTGCAAACCCTAAAATGCTACATAAATGCTAGTTATTATTATTTTTTTATTATTTGCGAGGATGTTCATGGGCACATGTGGCTCCTAAGAAAAAGGGCAGCCTAGCAAAGCTTTGATATTCACTCTGCTGAATGCAAGCAGCCGTCTCCAGCACCTGTTGCTAAGGTCAACCATAAGAAGCAGCATCTAATTAGCCAACTTTTAATTCCTTTTTTATATTTAGTATTTTATCTTTCCCCAGTTACATGTAAAAACAATGTTTAACATTAGTTTTTTAAAACTTTGGGTTCCAAATTCTCTCCCTTCCTCCCTACACCCCTCGTCATTGAGAAGACAAACAATTCGATACAGGTTATACATATGTAGTCATGCAAAACATTTCCATAGTAGTTATGTTGTGAAAGAAAACATAGACCAAAAAACGACACCTCAAGAAAAATAAAGTTAAAAAAGTATGCTTCAATCTGTATTCAGACAGCATCAGTTCTTTCTCGGGAGGTGCGAAGCATTTTTCATAAATCCTTCAGTTGTCTTGGATCGTTGTATTGCTGAGAATAGCCACAAATTTTAATTCTTTGGAAGTAGAATCATGAGGAATATGCAGGTTACTCAGGTACCAAGATGGGAAAGGAAAAGTCAGGAAGCACAATTTGTTGTGTTTGAGACTGAACGTGAAAAGAAACGAAGTATTCCATGAAGATGGACCACGTAATAGGAAAAGGCTCACTGGTGATTATTTAGTATTTACCATAGCACGCCCACAGTGTGGTTTAGCCAAAAAATTAAGTCACACTGACTCACAGGTCTTCTAAGAGCTAATGACTCATCCAGTTTTAGGAAACAATTTGAAATAGAGGCATCCCTTTCTAAGGACCATTAATTAAGGATTGCTATCATGGAATCAACTTGTTGACAACAGAAGCTTGTCTAAGGACTGCAGCAGAATGAAAGTCTTGAATTGTTCCAATTCATTGCCATGTGCAAATGGCCATTCCTCTGCTCAGAGGGCTTGGTTCACCACAGGTCGAGGGCTAAAAACTCCCATTGTTTCCTATTTCACAGAGAACTTATTCTCTGACTCCCCCTTCCCCCAAAATGGCTTCATTACAAGAGGACTTTACTCTAAAAACCAAAGACTCCAGTAGAGGTGACCTAGCTCTGCACAAGTACCAGGAACTCAGATTTGCATGCCCATTCTTTTCCTTAGTTGGGTCAGCAGCCCTTCTGCCTTCTAGGGTCAAGATAAATTGAGTATCTTGCATGTGACCTATCAACACAAGGACCTATTCTGATGATTAGAGTTTATAAACTGAGGTCATGTCAGCTCCATGGGAACCACAGAGAAACCCTGAACATTTGCAGGGTCCTTGCAGTGGGGGAGGCAAACAGGGAAGAATAAATGAATCAGAATATCTGAGTTGGAAAAATGCAAGTGTAAGCCACCCTACAAACAATCCAATAAGAATCAATTAAACAAATATGCAAGGGACCCTGCTTATCACTGGAGTTTCAAAGAGGTGTCTTAGAATATTAGGCTTGGAAATGACCTCAAAGATCACCTAGTTCAGTCTGTTTGCTTTTTTTTTTTTTAATCTAGTTTCAATCCCTCATTTTATAGAGCGGCTTGGAACAGTGAGTAGTGTGGGTGGGAAGACCTGAGCTTGAATCCTGCTTCACACTTAGTAACTCTGGGCCCCCAAGCAGGTCATTCCATCTCTTTGAGCATCATTTTGCTCGTCTACAAAATTGGGCTAATTGCTAACACCCTCCTAATAGGATTATTGTGAATATCATCAAACCTAAGGATGTAAAGCACTTTGCAAACTTTAAAACATTTTATATATGTCAGCTATTAGTATTATACCTTCCCTCTGTTAATTTTTTCCTCTCTATCCTGTTTATAGCTTGCTTTGTACATATTTGTTTGCATGCTGTCTCCCCCATTAGACTGTAAGATCCTTGAGGGCAGGGACTGTCTTCTTTTTGCCCCTTCTTGTATCCCCAGCACTCAGTACAGTGCCTAGTACATAGTGTGTTTAATACATGTTTACTGAATTGAATTATTATTATTATTGTTACTATGATTATAGGGTAGCAAGGTGAGGCTCAGAGAAAGAACTGATGCCAAAAGACACAGGATCTTATCCTCTAAAATTTAGAGCTGGAAGGGACATTAGAGGCCATCTGTTTTACAGTGGGTAAACTGAGGCCCAGAGAGATTAAGTGACTTGCCAAAGATCACAGGTAATAAGTGAACAGTACGGCAGACCTAAGATTAAAAGCCAGGTTTCCTCACTGCTAGTCCAGGGCTTTAAAAAAAATGCTCTACTCAATTAGCAAGCATTTATTTTCTTTCCCTTTTGACTTCCCCCACCCCTGTAGGGTGGGAATAAAATCCTTATAATAAATATGTATTCTTAAGGGAAACACATTCTCATACTGGCCACATCCCGAAATGTATGTCTCCTTCCGTGATCTTTTCTTCTATGACACCAAGTCATGAGTTTAACATTCCCCTTTCCACACTGCATGCTGCAATTCATGATTCTCCAGGTACCATCCAAGAAATGAGAGTACTTCCCAATTACATCACATTCATAGCTGCAGGGGTTTGTGCTGGGCATCATGCAAAGAGGCCAGACATTCCATGGGCTCTTAACCTAGAGCACACAGAAGGTGTCTGTATGGAGAAAATCACATCTTTAGTTTCACTAACCTCTAACTGAAATTTAGGATTTCCTTCAATTACTCAAAAACAATATTTTAAGAAGGGGTCTATCAGACTGCCAAAGGGAGGGGAAGGAGGAGGGAATAAACACCTACTATGTGTCAGGTACTGTATTAAACACTTTTTACAAATATTATCTCATTTGATCCTTACAACAACACTGAGAGCTAGGTACTATTATTATCCCCATTTTGCAATTAAGAAAACAGAGGCATACAGAAAGTTAAGTGATTTGCCCAGGGTCACACAGTTACTAAATATCTGAGGATGGATATGAACTCAGGTCTTCCTGACTCCAGGCCTAGCACTCTTATCTACTGTGCCGCCGGCTGCCTCTGGTGCCCCCCAAAAATCTGTGACACACACAAAAAAGTTAAGGACCCCTGCCTACAGACTTCTGAGCTCAAATGGATGACCTGGGCACAAAGCACAGATGGGCAACAGAGACCTAGTGACAACAAAGGGATAGAAATACACTGAGAAGCAAAAGGTATTTGAGGACAGAGTAAGACGCTGCATGAGGTAATGGAAGTGATGGTATTGGGGTGATGAGGCTATGCCTGCTTGGCCTTTTTCCTAAAACTCAATGCAGGGGTGGTGGTGGTAGAGGAATTATTTAAATTTTAAATCATTACTACAGTGTATGGAGCATTCTTGGTCTCTGTAATTTCTCCTTCCCATGCATAAAATAAAATAAAAAGCTATACCTGGAAGAGCCACCTGTTCTGGGCAGGGGGGACACTAAATGGAAAATAAAAGCTCTTTGGCTGGAATGGCAACTTGGGAAAAGATAGGAGGGCTATGAAGATAATGGCAATTCCATGGTAAGCACAGCAAGTGGGCCTTCTGATTTTACCTGCTTGTTCTCTTGGGGGTAGTGTTATCATTTTCAAATGGTCCTGCTAAGGTAACAAAGTGGGCCTGGAGGAATCACACCTTTACCGAGTTAGATGCTCAAAATTATGACGGTGAAATGGAGATAGGGATGGGGAGGGCATTGATAGGCCTGAAAAATGCAAGGCACTTAAACAGTTTTCCGATGAAGATACAACCAACTTCATCCTCTGTCTAGCCTATATCTCAGCTGCCTCCTGGGATTTCCTTCCTGACAGCTCTTTTCTTTAGATCTGAAAAGGGATCCCCCCAAGAAAATCACTTCATCTCCTACTGTTTTAGTTTCTTTATCTATAAAACGGGAATAATAATAAT